ATAATGGGCCAGTTTGGTTTGTGGTGGTGGCGCCAGATGGAAGTCAGCGACGCTTGTACAGCTCACCTTGTGGAACCCTGTGGAATCCTGGGACCAAATTGTCTTTTTTACATTCGCAGCTTCACAGGTCTCACCAAATTAGGCCTGTTGGTTGACATGAATTACAAAACGAAATAGCAAAAGTGCAAAAATTATCCCCCCCCCCCAAGCAGCGCTATTCTAGCGTGGAGACGGCTGGTCGTTGTGGACAGCCGTCGTTCGCTAGTTGTTGAGCATTAAACATCGAGCATAGCCTTACTGGCTTGAAGATCCACGATTCACCGAATAACTGTGGCTCTGAAAACGATCGCACCTCTTTTTTTCTGAGACGTTCGAGGGGATGTTGATCATTACTGAATATGTTTGCACAGTTTGGAATTAAGGTAGATGTGAAGAAAGGAACAGTCCCGCCATCAGTTACCGTTTATATTAGTTGTGTGAAGCCCACGCGAGGCTTACGAGAGATTTGATTGATTTGGTCCATCCACAGGATTTTGTGGGAGGACCGGAAAATTGGGGGCTTGAAAAAAAGATTTGGTACGTAATAATTACATGTCGCCCAGATCGTGATTGTCATGTACTGGAGAATATGGAATTCAGTCGATTCCGACCTATTCAGCGGTTCTATTTTGGTGTGTTGTGGGCGGTATTTTTGTCGTTTCCTTCACTACCTTCTTATCACCTTGCCAGTCGTATTCGGACGTCCTTAGCCATCATCTGTGATCGCGACATGCACCTGTGACTGATCAGTTTTTCAACTCTAGCTAATTAGTGAAAACACAGTGAAAAGTCCCGTTAGTTATGAACGATCGGGGTTTTCCGTTCCTTATGAAAAAAGGATCAGAAAGCGGGAGCGGGGAGGGGCAGAAATGAACAGTCCTCGAAGTAGACACACTAAAAGACATTTATTTGTTGTGCGTATGTCGTCGAATGAATCGTGTTGAATCGTGAATGCCGACTGCCCCCATGATTTATAACACTCATCCTGAATCGCTCCCTGAAATGGCCAGGTACCTCGTTAGTTGCCATCATGGTACTAACAGTGCTTCTCCCCTTCAGTTTTTCTCGTGTTTCACCTCCAGAAAACGTCGTTTGATGTGCTTTTTTCGAACTCACTTTCCTTTTCTAATCGAAGACAAAATGAGAAACTTTTTGTTGACACCAACGCACAAGCGATTCCGCCCGCTAAGTGAAACAGCGGGTTGCATGAGGGTGGCGTGTGACAGCGGTTGATGCTGATCTTTTATAGACGAAAATACATTTTCCCACGTACCACAAAACAACGCGAGAATCGATACATTGAATTCACTGCTGATGTGGGAACTTAGACTCGAATACTACTATAATTTGCGCTAATCATTCCTAAAAGTCCTTAGTCATATCTTGTATGGAATCTAAACACTTGGTGGTTCAGACTAGAGCAGCAATAAAAGTGCTTGGTAAGAATTTCCCACTTGTGGTGCTACTCTGAGAATTTATTTTGTTGAGAGTGCTTGCGTTTCACACAGTTCTATATTGTGATTAGTAAGACGGACCTGCTCTTAAAGAAAAGCTGTTCTTGTTCTTTTATTTTTACTTTTCTTATTCTGAGGTTTTTTCAGAGCTCTTTTTTCTTTAGATTTTGTTGGTTTTCTTAACCATGTCTTCAATTATCTTGCGCCATTTAGTTATTATGATGATCATTCCAAAGGAAGAAGTGAAAGACGAAAGTCAAAATTATTCGAATTCCGTTCAGTTTTATGAGCATAAGAATCTGTTCTTGAAAAATGGTTCGTCCCTAAACTTTCATAACATCTTCGAAAGCTACTCAAAAAAAAATGTTGTGGGCTTCGACATGGCAAACAAAGGCTTGTCATAGCTCACCTATGAATGCGTTACATGGAACTATGGATTTCCGTAGCTTTTTGCGTCAAAGGCAGTGAGCACCATGGCTGGGGGCGAGCGGTTATCGCCGTTTGTGGAAGGACCGACTAGGGTATGACCAAAGGCTTTCTCGCAGCCTTTCCACCAGTGACGCTGGCAACAACAGCCCGCCCCCAGTAATCCTGTCACGAGTGCCTCTGACAAAAATTTAACTTTTGCAATTGACAGAAACAGTGTGCAGGGTTTGGACCGCTAGTGGCTTACTTTAGTTGGTTCCATTCCTTATCAATATCGGTTGAGAAGCTCTTTATCTCAGGGTAAAACTGATTCATCGAAGCAGGGAGGACTTAATCTGCTCGACTCTTGAGTGTAAGAGTTTTAGCTTTCTGTCGCTGCTTTGGTTCCAGCCTGTTGCACCCAGCTACGATAAGCACTAGTCTTTCATACTTCTCTTACTCCTTATCGCAGCTGTGCTCTGCATCTTCGTTTCACAACCGCACATATCGGCGAAAACGTTCGTTTGTTTCATTTTCGCGGTACGCGTTGTAGCAAAATGTGAAATTTTACGTCTTTTTAATTATGAAAGTTGTTGCCTTTCTCGCGAATTAAAGCCGTCTACATTATTCTTCTCTGATATTCATTCGTCCATCTTATCGCAAACCGTCTCCTATTTTCGTATGAATTATCCAAACATTGATCAAATTTTGATTACTTGCTAAATTTCTTCTTTTTTTCAGAGTCGTAAGGATGTCATCACCTTACGAAGATTTTGACAAATGTCGGTCCGGTTGGCCAATTCGACCCGGTTGCGATCATTTGATCGGTTTCGGTATCTATACTGCTCTGGCGATTTTGAATCTTATGCTCGCATGTATGCCAAGGGGTGTTTCGTATCGAAGAGTAGGTGAGCTTTTTTTCTTCCGCATTTTTTACTTATTTTATTCTTCTGAGTTCATACTTGGTGCGCAGTGGGCTTTCCTTCACTCCTTGTGCTAGTGGAAATCCAACCTGGGTTCTTTTACGCGTCCAGTCTTTCGTGTCCTATTTTCAGTCTTCTTTGCTGCAATCGCCGGCTTATTTTCTTTAGGGGTTCCGCCCGACGCAAATGCCACTTTCTGTAATAGGCCACTTTATTTTGCCGTGACTATGTTTTATGGTTTTTTGATGGCTTCCTCCCACATCTTCTTTGAGGCTTCCGCGTAGCGATTACTTGCCCAGAACCTCGAAATACAGGGCTTTTGCCTATGAAATTACCTCAGTCTGTTTCAGCAAGTGCTCACGTTTGGACAGCAACCGTCTGAATGACCACCCCGATGTCCTCGTTGTCCAGGCTCACCTTTTCATCTTTCACCTTGACTTCAGCGAAGTGCGGCTGTCATTTATGGTACTTGCCTATGGATCAGCGCTTCTTCCGTGGGAAGTCCTGATTTCTACCTCCTTTATCGGGCATGCTGCTGAACCTTACTTTTCTTCCTTTATCACATACTACTGCACGTTCCTGCAAACGGAGCACCAGTGATAGTAAAGACTACATTCTGAAACTCTCTTTTGGAGATGTCCTTACTGCAAACCGTCGCTGGTTGCGAGGAGTGTCACTCTCGGCTTTTCAGTGTTCCCCTGCTTATTGTCTCCGGACCTGTTATCTTTTGGCCGAGTGCTCCAGTAACCTTTTCATATGGAACTGAGAAGTTGGTCGAGAGTTCTGTGCGCCTTTTGTCTATGACCTTCTAGCATTATTATCGAAGCTTTTGCAACTTCTGATTACTTTTATCGTGACGCGTTTCTTTCTCAGCCGTTTTGTCTGAGTGATTTCTTGTCAGGACATCAACATGCTCGCAATTTTGCAAGGCATTGCTTGCCCCCGTAGGTTTCGAACTCGTGATTTTCCAGACAGTGCTTTCAGCAAATCCGCATTGCGTGCTTCTGCTTAACTACCCAACTTCAAATGCGAAATGTTTTCGGTACTGTACATACTTCCGGAACTTTGGACCGTTTCAGCAGAAAGGGTTTCATTGGAAATGTATTAACTAAAAATAAAACAGCGATCTTTAAGGAAACCTCCCAGTGAATTTCTTTGTGGCTATCATCTGCAAATTTATTCTTATTGCTGTGTCCATATCGTTCATATTTTATTCGTTCTATGTCCATAAATACAGTCACACACTGATGGCATTCTCTATCGCTAGAGTGGTGAGTAACGTTTTCTATTTCTTAATTTTTATTGTCTTCTTAATTTTTTCGGGTTGAAGTGGGAGTCCGTAGACGAGCTCCATAGCGGCCTCCTCTTCCGACTCCCATATGTAAATGGTTGTATCGCATGAATATGGGATATGTTGGGCTTTTGTAATCCGTACAAGTAATGATCATATCACGAAGATTTTCACTCATTAACTCGAAGCCGCCGATAATCATCCAATCAAATAACAGCAGCTCAAGTCGTTGCTTTCACAATTACTGACGCCCCTGGGAATGGTGGCCACGTCAGCCACCAAATTACATAGGGAATCTAGTTTCAGGCGTAATCCGGTAAGGTTGAACGTAATACGGTAAGGTTTTGGAAAAAAGCAGGGGATGTCAAGTGGCTAGAACAGGGTTGAAGGGGTGGAAAAAATTTTCTGCGAAGCGATATTAGAAGCACTAGGTATTGCTCTCACTGCAAAAACTTGCTTGTGCCGTTGCTCAAATGCCTTTGTATCAGGATAAAAGTCTAATTTGAGAGTGATTTGCCACTCTCTTTACTTTGCGACCCTGGTTGCCATGGCCGGGTCGGGCCGAATCGGCTTGGAAAGTCCATGTACCGCCTCTTATTCCAATCCTCCGATTCGGGAAACTGAATAAACTTCATGAAACAGATTACAATTGTGTCATTCCAGATATTCTGGTTAGTGAATCTGAGCTCTTTGATCAAATGGCGTGATCTCCCACATCTTCCTCTTCCGCTGGCCTTATCTTACTCTTTAGCTGTCTGTTTTGATCTGTTACCCCTATTTGCCTTGGGAGTTGTCATTTTTACGACAAGGTGGCAATTTACTTTTGTACTTCTCTTCAATTTGAGATTTCCTGGAAAGGTAATTGGTAAACTTGGTTGCCTCAAATTAAACAATGAGCCTCCTCTAGAGCGCATCCCACTAAATCAGAAGGGGCGGTCATTTACTGGATTGGGGACTTACCTTTTTTTCTGGATTCTCACAAATTTGCAGATTCATTTAAAATGCCAATTCGTGTTTTACATGATGGATTTCGTCCCCACCATTTTGATTAGGGTTGGCTCTACTATGTGTTTAATCCGACTATTGCGAAGTGAAAATCGCCAATGCAGTAAAAGTTAATGTCTTGTATTTCTTCAGTTTTATGTGAATTAACCTATTTTGCAAAACATTTGCCCTTCCTTACTCGTTAGTTGCGCTATCAATTTCCGTTTTCTAGACATGGTCGAATTTCTCACGAAAGATTACCTTGATTCTACCATATGTTTGGCCAAAGAAAAGCTTGTCCCTACAGTTGCGCCAAGTTTAAGCTTTCTCTGTTTGTTTCCTCGCTATTCGGACGTCTCATCAATGTTCGCCTTCCTCTATACAGGGCAAACTGGATTGGGTTTTGTTATTTGATTCTTGCATTCTCTACGGTTACTTAGTCAAATAAGCTGCAAAACATTCGGGGCCACGATTGAGAATCAAGTAAATCTAGAAGCTACAATAAAAAATAAATTAAATAGCTGCGAATTAGGGCCTTCTGCCTATAGACTGAAACAAAGCCTTGTTTTCTTGAACTGTTGCGGCTTTTTATGTCTCGATTCTCTCCAACATCTGGTGTAAGATACAGTTGATAGGAAACATTTCCGAGTTTCCTTTCCGCCAAGAGTTTATATGAAAGTCGCTTGCTCCTTTCCGTGGGTTTATCCGACTTTTTGTTTAAGTTTTCCCACCAAGGAACAGCTTCGAGGGTCAAATCGTCGTTCTATTTGGGCTCCTTCCACAATAGAAGCGGGGACGGCCAGCGTTCTGCGGGCAACATTTTTACAACTGCATTTGCCGGGAGGACACCCGCTACCATCAGGGGACTGCTTACGCCGTTGGTGCGTGGCTTCGCGAAAGGAGACACGTCCTTCGAAAAAACAAACTCGGTCGGGACCGCCCTTCACTAAGTATGTAGGGACTCCACCGTTCTCCGAAAAAGCTGTCCAAAAATAAGGAATCCGGAGGAGGCTAGTGGCGCAAGGCCTTGGCGACAAAGACTTGGATGTACCCTAAGTGGCAGGTCGTTCACATCACCTAGCAACCTCGGCCTAATCGAAAGTTTAACTGCTCACATGGATACAACAGGGATACCCCATTGCGGATGGCTCGCGGTGGCAACCGGGGGTAACCCATCTAGTCTCCTCTTTCACCGCCCCCTCGTTCAGGAAGAAGCTTCTGGAAGCTGGTTAGTTGTAAGGATGAGGTCCTTTGTGATTCCCAGTCTAATACCAAATTACCATTTGACGTCTCGACAAGTGACGCACCCTTAAGCAAAGCCATTTGTCATTGCACTCCAAGAGTTGGTTCCTTCCTTGTGGCGCTTGTGAGCGCCGAAAAGCGGAACGCTACAAAACGAACTGCCCTGTGAGAAACACACGGTAGCTTGTAGCGATTTCACGGTCCTGAGGTCCAGACAACCCGTGGAAGACTGTTGGAGATTAAATGAAATTGCGACGGAATCTTTGTTGGCACTCTTTCGTGACACGAAGAAATCCAGTTTGCTGCTATGGAGACTTTACCAAAATAATCGAGGAGCCAAGGCCTTTGGGAGACCAAGGGAACCTCGCTCACCAATATTCTTCTTGGCATGGGACCCAACTGATTACCAAGTGTCCCCCCTTGAGGCCTCCTGAGGTGAGAGAACTGTCAGCAACTTGATGACATCGATCGAGGGGTCGCTGACTTACTCGACTCCCCAGCCTCCCCAGCTTTGGGAGAAGGAGAACGTTGACCTGCCTATTACATAGGTGGGGCACTGTTGATTGATGCCTATTTGCCTTATTGGATTTAGAAATAAAAAAATACAAAATCAGGGACAGTGAGAAAGGACCTTTGCTAATCCGTCTAATAGGAATTTAATAAGTCGTCCTCCTATATTAGGATTGGTGAGCTACAGGCTTTGGCATGGGCCTACAAGAATGCTAATGGGCCCAACTATTCAGCTTACGCTGGATTTCTTCCAAATTTTCACTTTTTGAATGTAGTACACCCTCCACAATCGCCTATCGGATCTGCTGACACATTTGAGGTTTAGCCCGAGTTTATCGCGAAATGTACCTTAGAAGCTTACACTTCATACTTTGACTTACCTCTATATGAACACGAATTTGCGAAGTAATTGAAGTCGCTTGTTTATGGACGCGGACTTGCGCAAACCGGAAAACCATTTCACCTTACGTTCTTATCTATATTTCTGACTTTTAAAAATTCTACAGGGCAGTGGAACAGGTATGGTAACTTGGGCATGTATTCCTTTTTGGTTTCCTGGTTCTTATTTAGTTGACTTTTTCAATGACTGTTCTTTTTAACTATTCTGTTGCCAGTTACCTTCCCAAAATTTTCAGCCCATGGGTGGTTTCCTGAAAACCTGATTTTTGCGCTCTTATTTATGGATCCTATACAAAGCCAAGTTTTACACGGGACTAGGAATTGAGAGGGTTAGATCTAACCTGAGAATTTCATGTCATTTGCTATTTTAACGTCAGTCTAAGCACGTTCTGCTTTTTATCATAGAAGCAGAAGTTTTATCAGTAGTTTTTTTTAATTGCTTCAAGAATGTTCTTTTATTTTGAGAAGGTGGGAAAAAAAGGAAAAGGAAAGAATCAAAGTCTGCGTCCGCTTGGTCTCATTGGCGCAAAACGCTGAGCCAGGCGGGAGGAGACTGTAATTTGGGCCGGGGTGTGTTTCTTGTTTTGTGTTACCATGTTCACGATGGGATTACTTTTGTATAAGAGAATGGGCGAACAATAAAGTTTCTTTTTCAGCTGAGCGTGGTTCGCACATCTGCCTCTCTTTCTCTCGATGGCATCTTCTCGGAAAACCGGTCTTGTTCTTCGAGTCATGGACAGAGGTACCAGCTCAGTGAACAGCATTCTGAAGTAAGCTCTTCAGAACTGAGATTATTACCATTTGATGTAACCGTATTTTAAAAGGCAGTTGGACGGATAACCTCCCAAGGCGAACTAGGAATCAATTTCCTTCTGGCAGGGACGAGAATTGCGCGACTTGGACACCCCGAGGAAGAGTGCCCTTATATGGGACCCTAATCGAGGCAACAACTTAACGGTTTCCCATACGCCCGCCACGCCAAATGGGACGGAACCGGTGTGACGCTCGTATTCCTTCTTTTTGTTGACATGCGAATTATGAAAGCGAAGAGGGACTGGTATGAAGCGGCCTCCAGTTTGCTGCATGCATTACATGGGTACACAATATTGCAGCCGTATATCTTCGGCGTAAGCGGTTGATTGCGTAAGATGGCCTACCGAGAAACTCCTCGAAATTGATTTACAAGTCACTGAGGACGGAGGCTTTTTTTCGCAGGATTTTGACCGTTTCACTCCGTTCTTTCGCCATTTTCCCCAAACTATACAGCGCCCTACTAGCCAGTTTCAAGCAGGAAAAAAATCAATTCGTGCCAAACTTGGCCTTTGAGTTACTTTCTTTTAAACGTTCTCAGAGTGAAATATGTTAATCCACTCTGAAACGGCTTGGTGGCACGTTCTTTCATGTCACTTGTTCTTTTTTTGGTGATATCGAACTCATCGCTATTGATTGGAACCGTATCAATTTAGTTTGCTTTTTCCAGCGTATATTATTGTTCAACCATCGTGCCAAACAATCCGCGGATTTTTATTGTAAATAATAGCTGTGGTTTTTTTCTTCTCGACATTCAATTTCTATTTCGGTGGAATAGTACTGGTGACGATGATTCTATACCTCAGTAAGGTTTCATACTTCCCCGGTGTTACGATTTTTACGCAAGTTGTTTCCCAAACGGGATAGCTATTCGGTCGCATAATGGGACGCTGTGTTCGGAGGCGGCGTCAGTTGTTATAAAAACTTCTCTTTGTTTGGCAGATCAGATTGTTGGTGTTGACAGAGCGTTCATCATCTTTATGGGGAACTAATAACGGGCGATTCGTATTTGCTGCTTGTGGGGCGACAGTTGTGTAATTTAATTTCATTTCAAATGCACCTCAAGAAAATGACTTTCAATACTTGATTCTACCCGCCCATGCGCGCTTTGTCTCCGTTGCCTTTGTCTGCATCTCGCTCGACTGCAAAATTTAGGGAAAATTTATTATAGTAATAAAGCGGGACGTATTTAGCAGCAATCATCCCGAATGCGATTATGTGCCTTACGTGTAGGACAAGTGGGGAAGGTCATGTGCTTGAAATTTTGTAGCCTTAGCTTGGGGCCTCCTGAGATGCGTTGAAAATGGTGATCCAGATCGGAAGGGAAGGGATCGCATTTGGTCAGGGTGAATATTTCTCATTGTTGGTCTCCCGGCGACGCCACAAGCTATTATTTCTGATGGTTTATGGGAGGTGTCTGGTGATTCGTTTAGTCGGCAGTGGAAGGGGTATCATCTGAGAAGCAACTGGGTATTTAGCATCTCAAAGAATTCGCTCCCAGGTTTTGGGCCGCAAATAGTCGAACTTTGTTGGGTTACGATATTTCAGTCTCACTTTTTTGTTTTATTTTTAGCTATGACAATATATGTAACGGAATGGCGTACGAAATTCCGTCGGGACATGAATGAAAAGGAGAATGCCAGCAGTGCCATCGCAACGGATTCGTTGTTGAACTACGAGACGGTAAAATACTACGGCAATGAAGTATATGAAGTGGATCGTTTCCGAGTCGCCATCGAAAAGTTCGTTTCTTGTTGTATGGGCTCTGGCCTTCTTACTAGGATTTTGTTTCAGCTTTCAGTTGGCAGAATGGCGATCTAATGCATCATTGGCATTGCTGAACTTCCTACAGAACGGCACAATTGGTCTCGGAATGACAGCCGGTTCTGTACTTGTCGCTTATTTGGTCACCGTTGACCACGAATTGACAGTAGGTTTTCGACAAGTTTTGGTTTTTGGCAAATGCTGCCCTGATAGCTTTTGGAGGAATCCTGACCTTTGTCTCACTATATGCTTATAGGTAGGAGATTACGTTTTATTCACTACATACATTCTTCAATTGTATTCTCCACTGAACTTTTTTGGGACAGTGTACAGGTTGGTTTTTCTTCAGTCGTCTTTCTAGTCTTATACATGTTTCTAAATAGTCCGAAGAATTTTGGTTAAGGACAATTCAAAAGTCTTTCATTGATATGGAGAATATGTTTGATTTAATGAACGAAGAAGTCGATGTGGGTTTCTCTCCGCTGCACACTTTTTTTGCTTTCTTCTTGCTTCTGTTAGCTGTAGTTCACGAAAATTCTGGTCCTCGGCGGGGTCTGAGGCCTTCCCGTTAGTTTCGCAGCTTTGTAATGTCGTTTTCTAACTATGCTTGATCACTCCTTTCCCGGCAATGAGAAGAGTAGGCGTGGCTTTATGAGCATCGGGGCATAGCGACGCGGTTTCGTGGGCATACTTCAATTTTGAAAACAAGTACTATTCTTGTTCTTGTTCGCATGTTCGGCCCGCGTGAATTACGATTGCTCCAAAATGCACAATATCGTCACGGAATTCTGGGGCGCTGTGTACGGCGGCCACGCCTACCGATCTCAGGGTTTCGGGTGTAGTTGGCGACTTTGGTCCCTGCCCCACCGGGAGAAGTCACGGGCCTGCCAGGTTTGCGTTCGCGACAAACTTGTCAACGAAGGCGGTTTTATACTAAGTAGTCTGAAGCGTCGACCTTTCTTTCACAATTCACACCCCACATAGTAAACTAGCGATGTTAAATGTGAACGGATGGTTGCAAGCGCCACGCGCGCGAGGCGGTTCTCCCGCCTCTCTCGCCGCGCTGCCGACCGCGGCAGGGCTGACCGCTTGGTGAGTCCTAACGACCGTTTGCCCCCAAGGATTCTAGTATACCCCGAGTAAACCCCTATTATCCGCTTTGCCTAAAATTTGGCCTTCGCTAGTACCCGACCTTTCGTTCGCCCCAACCTTCTATGTTTGGGCACATTACTTAAGTGTCGAACTCCATAGTCAGTGTGTCTTAGCCCCGTAGTACGCAGCTCCCGCACCTGCAAATTTTCACTCAAGACTTGAGGTATGGCCAGGGGTTGAAGTCAGGGCTGGCACCACATAATGCAATCTTTCGCGTGCATGAGCCCCTCTGCGTCTTACACACCCGAGACGTCTCTTACCCCCTACTTTATACTGTAACCTTATATTTTAGTTACGAACTGAGCAATGATTAGCTTTAGGTACGAGATAGTCCAAATGCAGTTGAATACCATCCGACTAGTGGACAGATTATGGTGAAGGGGCTCACATTTGCCTACAACGAAAACAGAGTTGTACTGAACGACATCTCGTTCGAAGTGGGCAGTGGACAGTCTATCGCATTCGTGAGTTCTCCTATCTGATACTGATTTCTTAATAATGGCGCAGTTAGGTTCGGAGGTGGCGCTGAATATATTCAGCGAAGCCTGTATAAGCCACCTTGTGAAGACCAGTGAACTCCTGTTACCAAAGTGGGTCACTCGAACAATGTCGCAGGTTCACAGGAGTTTACTATTGTGACCAAAATGAGACCTGTTAGATAACATGACGATGATGATAACACGAACCAAAGGAACTAGCTAAGATCCAGATTGTCCCTCTGAACTGAGCAGCACCTTGAATTTCAGTTCTGAGATAAAACTGCCTTAATACCCCCTCCCCTATAATGAAATCCCGAAAGAAAATCAATGGTTTTCTTTACCAGGTATCTGAATCATTTGCTTCAGGGTGATTTCTTCAAATTAGGAAATATCAACATGTAGGGGCGAGGGGAAGGTAGAAGTAATTTTTTTTCTTTTGAGCTTTTCTTCGCAGTGTATATGGGACTCTCATGCGCCTTACATAGTTATTTTCCTATCATTCTCTAGCCATCATCAGAAACTGTCTACGAAATCCTCAATAATAACAGTCCTGCACCTATAGAATAGTATCGGATCAAACAACCGCTCATATTTAGGTAGGCCCATCAGGTGGAGGAAAAAGTACATTGATCCGCCTGCTGTTCCGTCTCTTTGACTGTCCTGAAGGAACAATATTCTTTGACGGAAAGGATATACGCCATTTGAAATTGCGGTCATTACGAAAACAAATCGGTATTGTACCGCAGGATACGGTGCTATTCAATGACACCATTCGGTAAGATTCCAACGGTGTTTGATTTTTTCGAAGCATTCAATTTTAGCTTGTTTTCTGAATCCTAGCAACTACCACAATCTTGATTTTTTTTTCTTTAGGTACAATATTCGCTTTGGTCGTCCGTCAGCCACAGATGAAGAAGTTTACGAGGCTGCAAAGGCTGCAATGATCCATGACAAAATTATGACTTTACCTGAAGGTAATATTTGGGAGGGGGGGGGTAGAAAAATGCTATCGGAACATTTTCCTATGGGTTTTGATCACTATTCATCCTTTACTGCCTTGTTCTCTAAAATTCAGGCCGCATTTCGATCAGATTTTTTTCGCAGTGGTAGATTTTTCCCAAAGTATGCTCCTGGGGGTATTTTGACGTCCAATTTACGCGTGAACATAGCATCCGCTCAAAAAAAAAACGCTCGGCACCACAGTCCTGAACCCGTTTTAGGCCGTCGCCAGAAGTGCACTAGTGCACTTACCAGGCGTTTTCCCGCCAAACGAGTGTTTTACTCACGGGTTTAATTTGCCCATTGAACAAGTTTTCAGCACATCTGGTATTTCGAGTTCTTTCGGCGCCAACGTCTGAGCGGGTGCCATGCGGGTCACGCCTCCAAAAGGGCATGGGTTTTCATGTTCAGGAAATTGAATAACGGCTGGGTTCGAAATTTTAGATAACTGTACCCACGATGAAAAATACCGATCGAAATCTGATCGAGTTCCCAAGAGTGGGCAGTAGGGAGTCAACAGTGACGTTTGCCACTTTTGATTTTTTTAGCCAAGGGGCTTGGGGGTGAGGTGAGGGAAGAGACAGCGTGCAAAATTAGTCTTCATCCTTTTCGTCCCTCTCTTTAGGCTATGAGAGGCAGTGCAGAGCATCACAGGAAAAGTTTTGTGAGATGCCCCTCCTCCACGGTATGATATGGTGGTTGTGGAAGTTGGTATGATGGTAGATAAGGTGAAAGGAGTCTGCACCGAGTGTTTCTTTCTCTCACTATTGACTACCTTTCACCTTATCTACCATCATACCAACATCCATAATTTTACCGTCGAGTGGGGGGAGGCGCGGGGATTCATCTATCCCCGATAAGCTGTCGGAATAGGTGAATTGTTGTGCCGCTGAACAGGAGTGGAGGGGGGGGGGAGTAGGGCAGGTGAAAAAGAAAAGAACATCCAGAAATTTGTTTCTTATAGAAAATTAGAGCCCTTTCCCAAAGGTGATAGACGCCTGTTGTACCTTGACTGATTAGAGGGAATCACTGCATCATCGCAGTCGTTGGGGTAGCGCGAACGAAACAGAGCTGAAGTGAGGGTACTTCTGCAGCCGACTACCCCCACTCCAGCTTCTTAAGTCACTAGGTTACTATGGTGACTTGATTGCAGTCCGTGTTTTTAGGTTATGAAACGTTGGTCGGTGAACGGGGATTAAAACTGTCAGGTGGTGAGAAACAACGCGTCGCGATTGCACGGACCATACTTAAAAAGCCACAGTTTATATTTTTGGATGAGGTAATGTTGCCTTTCTTTCATGCAATATCAGGTGGGGCATAATTACCACGTGCTTCAAAGCTATCTCGGAGGAGTTAATATAAGTTCTACCAGTAATTATGCGCCAGCTTTTATTTATTTCCATGTCTGAAACGATTTTCTATGTCGTGAAAGGGCGCAGTTCGGCTTGGAGCGGGCATTTTACTGGTTCCCATCAATCACTGCTTCCCTTGGAGACCTGTAGGTTCCTATAAAGTAACGCGATTCTAAAGCCTCGTTCACACTTTACAAGAGACTACAGGTCTTACCAAGACGAGGCGTGCAGAATTCAACAAGAACTAGTAAAAGAAACTAACAAGGGTGCGGAAACCCCCTCCCCCCTAAGCCGAACGGCGCCTGACTTTTCATGCACTCAGTGTGAACTTATACTAACGAAAGTTACAGGCTACATCCGCGCTGGATACGCATACTGAGCGTGCGATCCAACGATGTTTGGAAGAGCTGTGTGCCAGTCGAACGGGAGTCGTCGTCGCCCATCGATTGAGTACTGTAGTGAACGTTGACTGTATTATGGTACTGCAGAATGGTCGAATAGTGGAACGAGGACGGTAAGTTATCCGTTCATCACTGCCTAACTTGTCACTGTTTGCGCCATGAGTATGGCCACTCTATGAAAGGAGAATTCCTCCCCGGAATTAAACCATGAAATAGAAAAACT